ACAGAAGCACTCATGTTCGTGAAAAAAACCTGAGCTCGTATTTCTACCCAATTCGTACACACTATAGTACACAAATCACAAATGAAATGCGCTTTTTTTCCAACAGAACATTATCAATATCGCGAGCTTCAATACTCGAAGAGGTCCAAAGCTGTCCAATTTGAGAATTCCATCGTAGAAATGGTGTAAATCGAAGTAAGAAGAGGCCAAACTAGAAAAGACTGAAGTGTTTATTAAAGGTACGGTAATTTGTAGCATGCTCAATGGCGTCTGTTTCAGAAACTTTTAACATTATTTTTGTGTTTGGCATTGCAAATGAATCGTTTTATTCAAAACAGTAACAGAATGTTTTCGTGATTATGAATACATTTTAAGCTCATGAATTTATTTGCATTTGAAAATTACTATATAAAGTAAAATTGATCAATTTAGATGTGATTACATAGTGGAATTTATTTTTATTGTTGATAAAATAATTCAAAAATATCATTCGAGCCGAAGTGACATAGACTCTATGTGACACTGTATGGACTGTCTTTGATTTTCGGTGGTTGTTCCCAAAATTAACGTTAAAAGATCTCACGTTCGTTGGCTCAACTTCCATTTGTATCATTTATGCTTTTCGACGAGTAGAGAATATGAATGCCGATGAAATTTAAGAGAGATGAGCGGGAGTGAGGGGAGGACAAAACGCAAACGATTGCACCCAGGGCTATGACACCAATATATAATATGCAAAATAAATTGGATTTTTTTCGCTCTTTCACGTCTCCGCACACATTGATCACCGGTAATTTAAAAAAAAAACTCTTACTTGAGGCGGTTGTGTCACCATGCGACGACCGCTAACTAAATTTTACCGGATGAAACGTTTGCACTTCGAACGCGGTGCGTATTTGAATAAATTATTTGCGCCACTTGAGCACACCGCGTCGCACAATGCGTAATAACTTCAATAATTTATTGTGTTTGACAAAAAGTGACGAGAGAGAAAGAGTGAAAGAGAATTTTTTTTCACTGAAATTTCATTAATGAGAGTAGAATAAACATTATTTTAATCGTGCGCGCTGCCAGTTTATGATGAAAAAAAAATCATTTTCAATATTCAAATTGTTCGACATCGGACAAAAAACATTGGTATGGCAATCAAATGCGTGTTTAATCGCCGAGACAAATAACAAAAGAGACCAAGTAGTCTATTATCAAAACGAGTGGTATCAGAGTAATATGGATAAAAATTATGGATAAAATTCGTGTTTCGCAATGTAATAATCTCTCTCTCTCTCCCTTTCTCTCTTTCTCTTTTTATCCCACACCAACTGACAGGCGTGCGCGCGCGGCGCATACACACGCACCAAGGTTAATGATTTGAAGTTGGAAATTGGATTTTATATTTTTTTGATGAATTTATGAGCACGTGAATACAGTGCAATCACTTGAATAATTACTTGGCCAAATAAAAAAGAGCTTCACATCGAGCAAATGTCACAGCTGACTGAATTTTGAAACGTGAATCCCAAGTGTCTAAAAAATGAACACAAATTTGCTCATAAAATATAAAACATTCATCAATTGAACTGTTGATCATTTTTTAGATTCTGAAAATGATGATGTTTGCGTGGGTGACGCTGTGCAATCATTAAAATTAAATATATGTATCGTCCCAATTGGATCGAACGCACATTCGACTTCATACATACTCAATCATTCTTTCCATCGACAAAAATCGGTATTTCTTTTCAAAAAAAAAACATTAAAAACCGATCGAAGAAGGTAGTTAATGAAATCGAGCGTCTCTGTTTATTATAAATACAAAGCGTGAAGAATCATAAAAAAAGAAACACTTGTTCAGTTGTTGCTAGCTCACGCCTTCGTGTGTGCTTAGCTCTTTAGTAGTTTGGATTTGATTTCAACGGGACAATAGATATGAGAGACGGTGTTCATCGATCGAACCACTTGTTATTTCATTAGCATTTGATTTCGTTGCTTTTTTTCATGCCAATCGCTTTCACATTTGGGTTCATTGTTCAATTGAACTGGAGACGTGAAGAAGCAAGAACTTCAACTAACCCAGACTAAATAAACTCCACTTCTTTTACAAGTATTATAATTGCGTGTCTATAATTGTTTTCAATGATTGTCGATTTTCCTTTCATGCGGTTGTCATTCGTTCCTTTTTTAACCAAAAAAAAGTGTGTGATTTCATTTTAATGGGAATTGATTTGATTTTTCGATTACTGAGATTATCGATTATTTTTTTCCCTGTCGCATATCATTTACATTTCGTTGTTCCTATCGATGATGCCTTGTTTCGTGCGTGCTCCGGCAGTTTTTTTCGCTCACTCATTTTCAATATATCAATAGATTCAATTATACACCAAATTGGCTGTTCATACTGAAGTGCAATACACCGAAATTCAATTAGAATTTTCTTTCTGTTTTGCATTACCGATCACATCAGTCATAATCAACAATACTCAAACCGAACATCAATCACAACATACATCGAAATCGATTTTCACCAACCATCCTCTCATCACAAACAATCGAAATATGATTCATTCGTCTAGATATAGTGTCTTATGGATATTTAACAAAAGTCAATAAAGATGGAAAAGTCGTAAAACACAAGCCCAGTTTCAGCCAGGGATCACCATCAATTTTCTATTGTTCTATTTTTAGTTTACGCATTTTATATGATTCTCATTGTTCGAATCGTTGCGTACGCTTATTATATTGCTGACTTTTCTTTTGTATTGTATTTTCCATGTTAATTTCATAAAAGAAGGAATATTCCATTGAAGTACACAATAATAAGACAAACACAAAAGGCAAAAGCACAAAATGCGTGCCACTTGTCATTTCCGGTATGCATGAACTATCTCTATCTTTCTCTTTCTTTCAATCTCTCACTCTCTCGTGTTCTCTTTAGTTCAGCGTAAATTAAGTAATCCATCAAATGGGGATACTAGTTAATGATTTTTCTCTTATTTGTTTTATCCATTTTCTCAAATTATAGAACTGATAAACATTGTACGCGTATTGAACACAAACGCAGTGCTAAGTTTATATATGCACGTGACTATCATGAAGTGAAAAATAAATAAAAAAGAAAAACGAAAAAACGACAAATCGTAGTTGTGTGTTGAAATATTCCTTTTTAACATAGAAATTGAATCCTGATTTGCTACTAGAGTCCTGAATCAATAAAATGTAGTAAATTTTAACTGCGAACGACAAATGCAATTTTCCATCATCATTACCAACTATTCGCATCAATTCTAATCGAATTAAAGTTGATCGAATTATTTTCAATGCATTTTTTGCAATGTTTTTTTTTCATTCAATTTGCGGACATTTGATTAACCGATAAAATGAATCGATTGCCAATGACTTTCAATCGAAGAAAATTGTTAGATTTTATGCAACAAATGAATCGTTGCGGTGAAACAGTAGCTCTTATTTTTCTCCAAATAATACTGCAACATGAAGTTTTTTTCACACGGTTTATTTGTTGTAATACAACAAATAAACTATTCATAAAAAACTTTATGTTGCAGTATTATTTGGAGAAAAATAAGAGCTACTCTTTCGCCGCAACGATTCAAATCTGGTTTCCATTAAACAGTATCGCAAATGAAGTGTGTGTAAACTTTTTTCATCTTATTCACAGTGACTGTGCCATTTTCTTCAGCTGACAGTGTAAATATTTATTCATTCATTTTTATTCATTCTTCCAATTCGTTCGATTTCTCTCTCTCTCTTTCTCTTTCTATCTCTCTTTCTCTCTCTCTCCATCTGAGATCAAAATTATATTGGCCATGCACGCTTTCAGTAAAGTTTGAAGAGAAGACGATTTTTGATTTCTGTTCACGTCATTTCAATTACATTGATTTCACATGGATTTGGATGTTGACAAAGTTCTGAATTTTTTTAACGAGCGTCTGACTTCGATGAAGAGGAAATTCAAAAAGAAATAAAAGACCAAATTCCGGCACAATCACAATTGACGTCCTACCATTTTGCTGACAGCTATGAAAGCCGCGGAAATTTGTGATTTTTTTCAATATCGCACACCACAAACGACATAGAAAATGTGGACGATATTTTAATGTATTCTATTGAGAGAGGAAGAGAGAGAAAACGAGTAAAAAATAGCGAAAGAGATGAGAGATGGAAGGTTTTGACAGTGAAGTTTTCTTAATCCGTTTAGTATTCGTCTGGAGTATAAAATGGGGTCTAACGTGGATAAAATGTTGGTACATGAATGAAATTTATCAAACGGTCTTCATTTTCACAAAAAAACAAGCCGAATGAAACGAGAAAAATAAAACCGAGTAAAATGGTATGGTTTTTGATAAAAGTCTGAATGTTTGTGCGGTAAATTCAGCATTAATATTTTGTTTAAGAAATGTCTAAAGCTTTTTATCGCACAAAAACTCAGAGCCAAATGTGCGATTTTAGACAATCATTCATAGCTCCATCGTGTCGCTCGAATTTAGCCCGGCAACTCGATTCATGAGTGTAATTTTTCTATAAATGTACCACGTCCCACCCTGATCCGATAAAATAAAAACTTAAATCAGTCATCATGCATCAAGAACACATGGCACACTTCCTAATCCTTTTCGATTTTTCTTCCGTCATCGTTCGCGTTCTTTTTTTTTCGTATGCGAAATGGGAGGAACACGGCAAGAGCCATAACACACAAAACATGTGCCAGTCAATTACGTTGAGAACAGCTTGCACTGGCGCTAGCCTCAAGTTTTTGAAATATTACACCCGTTCTTATCGATATACGAAATCTTGTGGTAATTTTGCTATCGAAACCCATAAGATTTACTTAAGCATCAATTCAAATACGGCGACAATGTATACATGGAAATCGAGATGGCAATGAATTGTGCACTTAAAAGATGCGGAACTAAAAATAAGTGAAGATGAAAAAAAAACAACGCACACACAATAGAAACGCAAACTCCAGCAGATGTAATGCTCACCCTTGTCCAAACAATGAGTTGTTTTCCTTTATCGTTTGGCCGCAATTGTGTTTAAGGCATCGCCTTTTTTTCAACTTTCTAGCTTGTTCTCTCACTTTTACTCAATTTGGATGCAAACACACACTCGATTTAATTTCCGTTTCGGATTTATTTTTTTCTTCGTTCAAAGTTATCACTTGTTTTGTCAATTCAATGTCGTTGTTGTGATTGTTACACCTATTTTTATTTTGCTTTATTTAACGAGAAGTTAATTGTGAACCAAAAGAAACCGTAATCAAAAAAAGTATTTAAATGTTATCGAAAAATAGACCGAAATGAAATGCTACCGAATAGTTGGGAGACGGTGTGATTTGACGTAGTATGATATAGTTTGGATAAAATTTGTGCAATTTTTCGGCTTTTTTACCTTCAACTTGACATTAAACTTTGCCAATCAAGATGTTGTCGCTAACTGAGCTTACGAGCTCGCATTGAAGACTACAAATCGACGAAAACGCGACAACCGTACCAACCAATTGGCAGCAACGAAAATCCAACGAGCCCAATGCCGTTGCTGTTGGTGTGTGTGTAGATGTACTGAGTGTTGTGAGTGTGTAAATACGCGATTCAATGTACAGTATGTGTACGCGCACGCAAAACCATTGGGCAACAATGAACACGACGTACTGTTTTCGGCATGTATTTGTGGCTGCGTCAACAAGCGCTTCGAAGCTACCATTTACATTGACGATGGTGGTATGAAAAATGATCGGCTTTTCATACTGATGTGCGTGCTGACTGCACGTTTTGTGTTTGCGTACTTTTTTTATCGTTTACTCTTTAATTTCTTCTTTTTTATTTATATATCGAATTTACTGACAAACCGGAGATGAAACACGTTTCAATTGCGATATGGTGATATGGCAGCTGTATTCGACGATGCGTCTGCCATTCTTATCGACGATGTGTGAGTGTGCGTATCATGTCATTCAATTTTATAAAAACAAACCGTCTTATCGTCGCACCGCGTGCATGACAGACGACAACGAGCATCATATTCAAACAAAACTAGAAATATACACAACTTTACCTAGTTTAGAATAATCTTTCCTCACCGTCGAGAAGAAAAAAATAGTATCTTTCATTGGATTGTATCAACATTTGTTTATTTCAACGAAATTCATATTATTTTCACTTAAAGTAAGATATTTTCTCCAAAATTTATGGAACTCGTGTTAATATTGCATTTTTTTCGCATATTTTCATCATTTATTATAAACTCATGAAATACGAACGGAATGGATGTCATTTTAATTGATTTATTATAGGCCGTTTTGGTACTCGAACTCAACTTAGAATATATGAAGTTCATCTGATTCGCCAAGATACACCAGAGACACCAGAAGCATCCGTTTCGAATACTTGTTTATAGTCTTCACTCGCACATCCGATGCCGAGTGAAAGCATTTTTTGGAGTGACCCATCAGCGCCGGAATATTTGCGCGTGTGTTTCTGTCATCGCAATTTGTGTCGAAACATTCGAATGTGAATGCGTGCTGTTGTACAGTTCTTCGGTGCTATTTCGATTCATGAAACGGATGCCAAATCATGCACATGCGCTCCATCAGTTGCACATGTGTTTCTTGTGATGCTCCCCTTCGTTTGTTTCTTGTTGTTGTATCTTTTTTGACCAAGTACTTCGTATGTTACACGAGCCGCACTCTCACACAACGTTACATAAGTATTTGAAGATGGGTCGACGTCCTGTTACTCTACTGCTGTTGCCGATGTTGTTGCTGTTGCTGCGTTAATCCAGACAAAAACCTCACCGTGCCGAGCGACAATCCGTTGAAAAAGCATGGTTTTATCTCAAATATGGTTTAGTTTTCACAAAAACCACATGGACTTTTCATCGCATTTCTTTAATTTATTTTTTTTTTTGTGGAGGATCGTTTATGGTTCAAGTTTTTAATTGAATTCTATAAAATAGTTTTCTAATTTAAAAGTTTTTCAACAACACAAAAAAGTAGAAGAATACGAAATCAGCAGCTTTTACACTTGCATAAGTCATTCGAGGAAATTCATGAGAACAGGAACTTCAAATGACTCAATTCAAATACTGTTTTTTTCTCCTCGTTTGCAAATAAATAAAACGTCGTTAACGCGCAAATGATGGATGCTTGTTTTTCTAGAAGCATTCTCACAGCGCAGCTACTATCATGAGATGTGCGCTACTTTTATGACTAATGCTATATTCATATCACAACGAATATGATGAGAAGTATGCCGATGTAATAATAAAAACACCATTTCAACAACGAGCTCGTCAAGAGAGAATTCTGATCATTCATCCAGTTAATGATGTAATAACCATTTAATTTGGAGAAAATATTTGAACGAGAATTATTTCGAATTTTAAGCTACGTTAAATTCCTGCATGATTCTGGTAGCCAAAAAGACGAGAACACGGAAACCCATTTAGATGAATGAAAACGAACGACAAGTGGATTACATTGAATCATTTCAATGAATATAGTCATTTTGGAATTGATTACTTAAATAAATGATCAACATTGAATTGTGTGCTTACTTGGAATTTTATTTGAAATTTAAATTTCATTGATTGCATTACTGCTACTTTTCAAATGACCGTTATTTAGGCTTTTCTTTTTATTATATTCTACAAACATTAAAACGCAATGAAATCGAATTAAGTGAATCTTGTTGAGTGATTATGTATTTTTAGTAAATTTTAGTCACATTTTACGACAAAAAATATGATCTTACGACAAATTTACAACCCTTTAAAATTTAGACTAGGGGGGAGACACGGGCTTTAGTGTTGCTAATTTTTCTTAGTTTTTTTAGTAAATCGCATATAACGTGTACGTTGACAGGACCTAATAAGTCATAATTTTTCTTAGTTTTATTTTATTTTTTAGTTTTCTAGTTTGTGTCTACCCCCTAGAGTTTAGAACATAAAAACAAAACAAAACAAAACAAAAAAACCCGACTTATCACAGATGTTTTTTTGAGCTTCAAAAATTTGTAAGTGATAAATGTTTTTTTTAGAGACTTTGTGCATGTGCGGCACATTTTTAACGGTATCGTCATCGTTTGTTTATATTACTACACTAAAATATTATGCATGGGGATAATCACGAATGGTAGATCCTACTAATTTTAATAATACACGCTAGTTCCTCGATAGTTTTCGCTAATTCTACTTTTTTCGTAAATATTTCAACCTATTCTTCCATTTAAAATACACGTTGCAGTGACTTAATATTTTTTATGGACATAGTATATTTAAAGCAGGCTTGTAATTTTTGATTATTGGAAAATATTATATAAACAAAACATGGCTATTTTAAAAGTATGAATCATTTTTTGCTCTTAATATGAACATAATTTTTGAGCAACAAAGAAAATACCAACCGACCTTACAGCCTGCTTCAAAGGCTGCTTCATGTATATTTGCCAGTTATAGATTGATACAATAAAAAATCTAATAATAGCACTTAACATTCAAAAGAATTAGAGTTTCAATTTTTGATAAGTGTGGTCTGAGGTGGTTCAATATCAAAAAATTTCAAAATATTATCTACAAAAAAATAAAATATAAAATAGATTGAATTGACAAAGTTTGCCATGAAGCAGGCCATAAAGATGCATTTTTGCAATCCAATGGTGAATGTGAGTTTTATTTAATTTCATTTTTGAAGAATCATTTGGCTCAAATCACACTTATGCACGGCCTGCTTCGATAATTTAATTTTGTGTAATGTCACACTAGAAAGGTTAGTTGATAATACATTTTTGACCACAGGCTAGATTTATTTTAGATTTTCCCAGATTTTCAGTTTTTATAAGCTAGTTAAATCCCTTTTTTAATATGAAAAATAACCCGTATTCGGATCGTTATGAAATTAAAACCAAACATAAATAAACCAGAGAAATAACGTAATATTTTTCAAATATTTTTGCAACGCTACTATTGGAAAATAAATTAAATTAAATATGGAGATCAATCGAATAAATTTTCATATTTTGTATTGCTTACCTCATTTCAAGAAGACTAATTTAAATGCTTGGTAAAAAAAATGTAAAATTCAAGTTAAAAATGGAAAATTCCCAGTAATAATATGCAATATTGTGTATTGTAAATAGGTTTGATTTTTTCTTATTATAAAACAGGATGGTTAAAAAAATATGCGAATACATTTATTTATTTTTGCAAACTTTATTTTAATTAATTTTTATTGGAAAACTAATGCTAGCCAAAAGCGCACAAGTGGCAAATTTAGACAAAATCGATATGAATAGGGCATTCCATCCGTTTGGTATTGCCGTGTGTATGTGTGAACAAACTGGAGATTTTAAATTGAAAGAAAAAAATTCACAAAATAAAAAAAATTATAGCTGGCGAAAGCAAAACATTCGAAATTAAAATTAATTATAACAGGGCCTATCAATGGAAGGATGTGAAGACTTCAAGTCTCTTTGAGCCAACGGTGGCGCCCCGAATTTCAAAGGGGACGTCAATGTAATTTAACAACTCAAATCGAAACTAAACAGCGCGCCAATTTTAAAACTTGGTGTCATTTCCTCCCATTGGGGCCTATTCTTGAAATTTCAATTAAAACATGAATGTGAACATCGACAAGAAGACTTATCAACTTTTTAAAGACAAAAATCGAATTTTGGCTTTGTTGCTCTGTTGAGTAATGTAGTTGTGAAATAAAGTGTTGGCCCGGGCGGCATACACAAGATTCATCATATATCCATATTTGAATAACTTTTAAAAATCTTTCAAACTTGTTCTTTATAAAAGGTATGTAATTACATTGTTGAAATTAAGGTAAGGACTTTCCTTCTAGGGAGCACTATTACTTTAAAACCTTCAAAACACCATTTAAAGTTATATGAAAGTTCAAGGTGATGCAGGTACAAATTGTCGGCCCTTCTCCGAATTCAATGAATAAACTGATTTTGGAATTGAATAATTAAAGAAAATGATCAACACTGTGTGTGCTTTCTTGGATTTTTATTCGAAAGGACACATTCATTGATTGAACATAGGTAAATGAGTGAATTTTTAAATTTCAAATACCCGTTATTTTTGCCATTCTTCAGCAAATGTCTAGCATCGTTTCTCATTTTCCTTCAAAATTAATTCAGAGCAATGCAAAGTGTTTATGCAAACATGCACACAAAGCACAACATTGAATCACAACATAATATGTAAACAAACTATTGTAATAGATGTAAGTTGTTTGAATAAAGCAGTTAATATCTAGCAATGAAGCTGAACAGTTATTAATTCATTTTACATTTTGGTGCCTCCTGCCAGGATCGAACTAGCGGCCTCTGGTTTACAAAAATTAAAATATCCAAGAATTGATAGGACATACTCTTAATTAAATCTTCTCTTTAAAAAAATGGTACACGCTTCGAAAAAAATTTCCTTGAAAATAATAACTTTGAACTACACTGTAAATTAAAACATGAACCGTATCAAAACGGACTGAAATCGAATTGAGTGTATTTTGTTTGAGTGATAATAAATTTGAGTGAATGTTTAGTAATAATTTACGGCTAAAAAGAGATAGACGATACTACCATTCCATTCTCCAAAAAAAAAACACCGGCACATGGTGCACAATCAAATCGCGCAATTCAATAAAAACATAACAAGCAAACAAAAAACGTGTGTGCAATAGATGAATAAGCCATAGTCGCCTGACGACTTATCACAATTCTTGTTTTTTTGCTCTTCGAAAATGTTTCAGTGACAAATCATCATTTGTTCGGTCTTCTCTTAGTGACTGTATTAGTTTCTGATTTGTGATTTGTTGCATGTGTGTGGTCCGTTTCACTCTGCTTAAGCCTATCTGGATTTTATAATGTGATATTATGTGCTTGGTTTACAGCTTTGTCGGTGAGCTGTGTATCTGTGTGCGGCCACTTGTCTGAATCATCATTCAAGATAATTTCTCTCTCTCTCTCTCTCTCTCTCTCTTTCCTGTTGCTGTTTTTTACTTCTTTTCGTTGGGATTATGTTCCATACGCGTGTGTAAGCGTATTGCTTTCATATGTTTTATAACCATATATATCTCGTTAACGATGCCTTCTCTTTCATCGAACTGTCTCGTTCTCTGTTTATTCTTTTTTTTTTTTCATTCTCCATTCTACGCATTGTACCGTTTTTAACCGCAACGATCACACTACGAATGCATATATAAAGCTTGTATGCTTGAGAACAAAAAATGTTTGTAACAGCACTTCGGCACTCGATTTTACATACATACACTCGTACTTCTTTTCGTTAGAGAGTCATCGATGTTGTTACATATATACGTGTGTATGTGGTTTTTTGTATCATATTTTTGAGTTGCTAATTCAATTTTAGTTTAACAAAAACCGTCGGTCGATACAGACACGATAATCGAACTCAAGTACCAACCACTTTCAGAAATTTATTTGTGTGGCTGAAGCGGTGTTGGTGACCAACTCATTTTAAGATCGAGTTTCTAATTTAATACACTTCTTTATTGTTCGTTCCCAATTCAAACCAATATTATATTTTTTCGTTCTTGATTTCATCGACGTTAAGAAGTGTTCGACCACATAATAAACCCCAAAAAATCGCATAAATCGAAATCAATTTAAAACAGAACGTTAATTTATTTCTAGAAGGTCAACAAGTGAAAGTATTTTTTGTAAAAACAACGGCATCGATATTATCTAATTAACATTTTTAATTTTATTGGCCATTAAGAAGCTCAATTGACGGAATTGTGATAGTTGAGGTAGGTAAATTAATAAATTAATTATACAAAATATATCATAGTTCTTTTTTTTTAAATAAAAACCACTTGATATTTGAAACAGAGCTACAAATCGTAAATCACATAAAAATCTCTGTTGAAATGAAAATTGAGCCGCGCAAACCATAAATGAGAACGAAATGTGGTGAAAATTTTCGATGATTTGTTTTATATTCATGTGGCTTTTATTTTCAATTATATGCCACGACATTGATCGTTGATACTGACATTCAATGGGCTTCGATTGTAAAAATTAAGTAATTGGAACACTATACAAAAGCGATTCAATTAAATCGAATGCATTGATCATGTGCGCCACTATATCCAGTTGGCAACAATCAGCTGCAACTACTCGAACAACACTCTTGTTTTGAGTAACACTGTCAATATGAATATCACGTGTGCGATGCATTGGAAATAAATGATTTCCTCATTTAAATCACTTTTTTTTAAATACCGTTCCGTATTATCAGGGGCACCGATTATAAGTGGGCAAGTACTGAAAAGTCTTGCACCTCTCCCGTGCACAATTTCGCACCTAGAAATATTTAAAGCATTCCGTTGGACGAAGGTATTGACGAAATGTATGTGTATTGCTTTTTTAAATTTTGATATGTGCAAAATTGTGGGTAGGAGAGCGAAAAATGTGAATGCATGTATTTTGCATAGAAATAACACGTATTGTTGTTCTATGGGTTTTCGTGACCTGTGTCATTTCACACTAACTATAATTAATAACGAATATAGAAATATGGTCATTGTGAACTGTTTCGAGTAAAAGTGTGTATGTATACATGCGTGTGCGTTTCCTTTTCTCGCGGAATGCCGATAAAATACGCGCTATCAGCGTTGGTTTTTACTACGACCAATAATTTCGCTGGGGTCGAAAGCTGCGAGAAAAAAAAACGCTTCCCACATTTCTTCGGTCATGTGATTTTTTCGCGATTTGCTAACTGATAATAGATATCATTTTAACAAAATTCCCCAAAGCGTATACGAATTAAACACTTTGAAATGGTCGACTACCTCAAAAAAAGGAACACACTTTTTTTATTCGATCATAATCTCGATTGTTTTTGATTTTATGCATCATTGCGACAACATCAAATGCGTTTAATCGGTCAATATGGACATTTCCGTTGAATATATTTGATATTGATGTATATTTGTGAGCACAAAGTGTTTATTCATAACTACGTCACGGGTGGCATTTAATTATAAAACAGATGTGACCCTTCTGATTTTCATCTCACTTATGGATGCCAGTAAGTGTTCAAAACACCCAGACACCGACTGACATACTAACAAAACAAGTTACTTTTTTGTAATTGATCTTTAACGCTTTGATGCTACCGAATAAATCACAGCTCCAAGCAATTCCATATCTTTAAATGTCACCTTACGTCTTAAAATAGTTTGCATCGCAAGAGCTATATTTGTAATCTTTGATGCAGTCAAAGTGGAAGGACTCTCTATCGCTTGCTTTCTGGTGAAAAATTCAATGTTGAAAATTAGAAAAACAAAGAAAGGAAGCGAAAGTGGCAGTGATTCTGTACTGAATCGAAGCTATTTTTATAGACTGATAAAAACTGAGTCTGATGTCTTATCATAGATTATTATTGACGTTGCGACAAAGTTTCATTTCACAAAGACAAGAGAAAAAAAAAAGAACTCCGCTAAATGCGGTAAACAATTTGTCACATAGTAAATTTTAATCGATGGTCATAAAAAAAATTGCATCATAAAAACTTGTCAATTATCAGCAGAGAGTGTGCATACATCCAATTTTTCTGTGTTTCGTGTTTATACATGCGACTGATTTGTAATCAAAGATTTATTCAAAAGAAAATCGTTTGATATTTTGTAAAATCGCTTTGTGGTCGAACCTTAGAACATGATCTGAGTATAAAATCGCAATAAAAACTTTTATTATAGGTTAGTGCTTGTGTGAACGAGTGAGTCTTGAGACGAAGCAGTTGAATCTTGTGCAACGACATTCAAAATGGATGAGAAACCAACGAAGCATCAATTTGTGCATATACCACCTGTGGAAGAGACCGAAGACAATAATCGGTTTAATGAGAACGGCAGTGAAAATGATGCGGACGAAACGGTACCACCACTGGGACTAACCGGCAAAGCAGTATGCATGCAAGTATGTAAATTCCACTTTTTGCAATGATTTTTATTTCTCTTCTCTATTTCGGTGGCAAAAGACAGAAAAATAACCCAGACTGTATTGTTCACATCGTTGAATTTAAATGTGCTCAACATCCTTTGTTCGGATCATTAAACATTGTATACACATACAGATAAAAAATAAAATTGTTCGCCATTTCATGTGTCCTCTATTCTATCCATCATTTGTGAACTTTTCGCATCTCTCAAGTGGATGGTTTTCTTTGAAAGAAAGCAATTTATTCATGGTCGAAGTGGTTGCCGTCACCGAAAGCCGATACTTGACTGCAATTGGTTGTGTCATTCAATCAATATTAATTCCGAGAAAAATGCATCTCTTCATCGGCCCTATTGTAATTTTTGATTGACAGTTTCATCACAATTATAATTTCAATCAATAAGAAAAGCGAATGGTTGAAATTTGTTGTGTAGAATTTGCGATTAACCCAACGACATAATTGAATAGCATTCCACTTGAATAGAATGCCAAAAATAATCTCATCATTTAATTACTTTTGATAACATTTTTGTTTGTTTTATTTTTTGTAGCTGTCAATGAGTTTGTTAGCAAATTTCTCAATTTTATCATCGGGCATGGCTCTAGGCTTTCCGGCAATAACATATGAAAGTTTGACGAGAGAATCGGATCCGATGTCCTTGACGAGCGATCAGGCATCATGGTTTGGTGAGTTTTAACCTTCACACTGAAAATAAGTCGATGACAAAAAATACGATTACATAAAATGGGCAAATGATTTTTATTATATACACATGTATATTTTAAACATTTTTATCGATTCGTTTGAATTAAAATTAAAATAATCGAAAAAATTAAACAAAAAATGACCCTTGGAGGAAAAAGAAAAAAAATTGCGCACACGAAATCATTCGATAAAGACAATGTTGGGTTGTTCTTGCCGTTATCTTTTTTTTTTTTTGATTATTCACTATCTATCTCCCCCCATGATGATGATTAAATGCTCACACTTGAAGCTACCAAGTTCAGATCGACTTGATGTAGCCGCTCTTCTTTTGTGACAACCTCAATGAAAACACAGACACACAATTTTGTATGGGTGATTTTTCGGCATTTTTCACTCGAATGCTTTTCGTCTCCTTCTTTCATTCAATTACTGTCGTCTTCTTCGAAAGCCGAATTCGGTAAAAGCGAAATAATTGGCTAGAATATTCAAAAATTTACCTTATTCTAGAGAAATGTAGAAAAGTCTTCGAAAATTAGAAATTCATTTACTTAATAGAAAAGGTCAGAACGAATAAAATACATACATAGAAAAACCGAATAAATCCAAATCAAGTTTTGACTCAAAAAAGTAAACATCATTCGAAAAGTATCAAAAATTCATCTTTTTGCAGTGTAATTTCGATTTGAGAATTGGCAAATGTGAACATATTTAGATGAAAGGCAAAGGTCCCTATTTTTTTTGTTTATTTAAAAATGAGAGACATGGAAACAAAATATTATGGTTTCGTTGGTTGTTGAACATACATTAGTGGCATAGGTCTGAGCGTTATGCCCGATAACACAATTTTTTGGCTAATTTTCACTTTTTGTTTATATTTTTTCAAGTACGAACCGGTATAAAGTATTTTGATCATTTTTGTTAAGAACACACTACATATATCATATTCTGCAATAAAAAAAAATCTCAAAATTTTAATGTAAAGAATTGAAATAGAGATAATTTGGTTAAAATCTTGGACATGCTTTGATAAACATTTCAATGAATTGCATCGGATTGAAGAGTCATGTGTTTTAAAAGCATAAAATGTGAATCTTCAATCCTGTTGAGCTAAATTTGCTCGAAATAATTTGTCTTGAACTTGATATCATTTTCTAATCAACAAAATGCGATTTGTTGCCGTGCCGAACATTAAATTTTTAATCTTGTATCTTTACTTTGGTAGACTCATTTCCATTTGCAATGTTTGTCGGCTACTTAACGCGTATCCAATTAATTTTCTTATCCAAAATGAGTTTTTACTAATATTCAAACCAACAGTGACAATATGGTAACGAAGACAATGTTGACAATATATTTTTTTTCGCTCTTTTCACTGTCTCATTTATAGACAGAGTACCGTCTCAAGTATCAAATTATATGTTATAGTTTCACATGATCTAATAAAGGATATTCACAAACCGCATCCATCACACAACAACAAAATGATTGCTATTCATGTAAGGCAAACGAAGAAAACATTGTCATAGAAAAACGACACGTTAATGGGAAGGGAACACAAAAGAGAGCAAAGAACTGACGGAAAAGAAAGCAAACAAGTTGTCAAGTTGAAGAAGATTTTATGATTGCCAACGATACACTGTATGTTTAGATAGTTAAGTAAGTGTTTCGTAAAGGGAGAAGAGAAAAAGAGCGTTCGTCAACAACAAGAGACATCTAATTAAAATGGTGGAATATGGCAAGTGAAGTGCTTATTTTGTTTGACGCAATATTTTCATAGAAATGAATGGAAAGGTAGAGAGATGGGGCCCCCCCCCCCGCTTGGTGTAGGGAGAGATGGCGGTGGTATAAACACGGAGATAAACAAGTAGTAAAAGAGCAAAATTATTATCAAAAGTGGCATTTTAGACGAAAAAAGACCATTCCTAGAAAATTGAAGGAAAATATGTTTACGCGCAAATTAACTAGTGTCATAATTGAAATTAACGGTGTGTCGTATAAAATCGAATAAGGAGTTTATAAATTCATTGGACCGACCGAGTTCATCTAAAACTGGGTGTGCAAAAGAAAATCATAAATTAATTGATGATTTCAAGCAATAAAATTCCGTCCTCAAATAAATGAGATTAGTTTCACTTTCGATCGAAAGACGCCATAAAAACCCTAATAAAATCTTATTTTATTTGGTAGAAAATGTATTGCATAACACGAGATCGACACTGAGTCACATGGATTATTTTTAATGCATTCCATTCCGCTGAGTTATCAGTTCCTCGTTTGAATCGCGTTCATTTAAAATAACAATAACAAATGAACGAGACTTTTGATAAACACCGAAATTATGAGCAAATTATTCATATAAATTAAACAACAAACGGCACATCACTTGCATCGGCTGTAAAACTAGATTTTCAGAATTATACGATTTAAATCGTAAATAGAGCAAATAATTGCGAGACTATTGATGTCATGACAGCTATGTTTATCAGCAATAAAATGCAAGAAGAAAATTACGAGAAAAAAAAACTCATCTAAATACTAAAGAAATCAAATGAAACGCGTCGAACGCATTCATTTTAGAAATCAGGCAAACAAAGTAAAAACGAAACGAAAACTGCAATCAGCAAAATACACGCTGAAATCTGCATCATCAAATTGTACGCCAGCGATTAGACAGCAATTATCTCCCAAGCAAGCACATGAAACTCTCAAGTGAAGCTTACTTCAGCTGAACGATGAAAAAAAAAAATAGAAATGTAATCGCACATTTTATTAGAAATAAACTTTATTATCGCTGATTGAGTGAGTACATGGGGCGAATCGTGTATACATGGACTGCGGTATATCGCACTGATGGGGGCTCATAATCGCATTCACATTCATTCTTTATTTATTAATTTTCTCTCACACTGCGGATCGCATGTCGACTCAAATCTCAAACAACCGACCAAACTAATCGATTGATGCAGTGACAAAGATCAATCACAGCCCTGCCAATATTTTTATATATAAATTTTATTATCGATTTAATAAACTAAAATAAAGGACACAGAACACACAAATGAACACAGAAGCACCTTAAAAATAGGTTTTGCAATGACTTGCCGTATTATTTATTATATTATTCACAAATATTTAAATTGATTCTTTATCTCGCATGAACTCGAAAAATTGACAAATAACTATGTTATTCAAAACTGATTCGAATCGATCAACGACAACTTATTTCGAAAATAATAAAAACGAACGTTTTTTTCACACACGCACTTCTATCTCGATCTCTTTCTCGGTGTCTCTATTCTATTTCTACTGTTGTTATATCTCTCAAGTTCTTTTTTTCATCGAAAATCTTTTGTCGAAAATTGTTGATCAAATGATGATTGCAATTCAGTCAATATTTACAATGGAAAAATTCCCATTATTTTTCGGCTCGTATGATTTACCTGATTTGATTTGCCCTATTTGACGTGTTGACGCGGAAATTTCCGGTGTCAATAATAGAATTCATTGTGCATACGGTTCAATGTTGTATTTTCAAGTTGACAAGTGTCAATAAGAAGGAAGCGCGCACAACAAATGTCGCCGATGAACGAGCAGCAAGCGTGCAGGCAAGCGCGTTCAATTGAAGAAATAAATTAATTAATCTCGGGCAAAATGATTGTTTTATTTGCACCATCGATCGTATCAATTTCAATTTTCTATTGCCTTTACATTGGCCGCAAACACTAGACACAGTGGGAACAGAATAAATAGAGAGAAAGAGAGAGAGCGAAAGAGATTGATATCAAAACTAACGCACCAAAAACTGTCGAAGGAAAGAGTGGGAGTTTCCACTATCCAGACCGTAGAAAAACAAATATTCCGAATCAATGGATGCTTTGAATCTCGTTTTTGATATTTGTTTTCGCCGCTCTCGACTATAGTGCTCACTTCAATTGCCTTTTGTTTCTCGTTGATTTTGCTTTTTGCTCGATCGTTGAACAAATTCCATTAAAAATTCGATGATGTGATAAATAAACTTGTTTTGATTGATTTTAATTGGAAATGATTTGTGCCGTGATCAGATGTAATTCACCATTCCAATTCATTTATGTAGTATTTTGTTTTGTTTCATTTATTTGCAGCTTCCATTAATGCTTTTTCATGTCCGATTGGTGGTTTGCTGTGTTCTTTCGTATTGGATAAGTATGGTCGTAAGAAAACACTATACACGATAAACCTGTTGTCGGTAATTTCGTGGTTGATAATGGCCATGGCAAGCAGTGTCGATAAAGAATTGATGTTCATTCAACTGTTGGTGGCACGTTTTATAATTGGCATTTGTATTGGTTTATCGAGTTCACCTTCGGCCGTCTATTCAGCCGAAATTGCACATCCATCGCTAAGAGGTCGAATTTCGGTTATTACGTCATTGGCCATTGGATTGGGCATTCTACTCATTTACATCTTGGGATATTTTATACCGGTAAGAGTTTTTGCACATTTTTTTCTTTAAACAAATACACCTTTGCTATGCCGAGATTCACCATCTACCATGACCAGGTTTCGTCATGAACGAGATGCACTAAGATTGATATTTTGATTTTTCTTCAAAATTTATTTCGAATATTCGATTATTTTTTTTTTGATGACATTTTTACTCACAAACCGTAAATTGTTCAAAACTTCAAATGAATTTTGGTTTAAAAAAAAATCATCCCACGGCAATAAAATAATTTCAAAATCAATATCCTCCTCTTCTACATTTAGACGAATTGGCGTTTGGTGAGTGGTATAAGCTGTGCCATTTGTGTGGTCGCATTAGCGCTTCTGATACCCATTCCAGGTACTATTTATTTATTTATATCTTAAATATCTTATTATTTATTTATTTATATCTTATTATTTCAGAAACACCCACGTGGTTGGCAAGTAAGGGTCGGACGGCTAAGGCTGAAAAAAGTTTGCGCATATTCAAAGGGTTACCACGAAAAGGTAAAGCATATACAACCTCTCCAAATACACGTGACGCAAATATTTTCAACCATTTCTTCTTATTTCTTTTCGTGTTTGTTTTGATGTTACAGGTAGTTTTATCAATCCTGAATTGCAAGATGAAATCGATATGTTGGTAATGCACAGTGAAAGTCGACATGCAATGAAAAATGAACGTTTGATGACAAATTTATTGAAACCGGAAGTATACCGGCCCACATTGATAATTATTGGATTTTTTGCATTCCAACAATTGTCCGGTATTTTTGTGGTTGTTGTGTATGCGGCAAAATTCACCACCGAAGTTGGCATAAACATGGATCCATTTTTGTGTGTTGTATTTATTGGTGTGGTTCGTGTTGTGGCCGGTATCATAATTGGTTTGTCGTTAGACTATTTAGGTCGTCGACCGCCAACAATTTACTCATCCATTTTGATGGCAGTATGCATGTATGGTTTGGTTATTAACAAACAATTTGAATTGGTCGAACGATACGAATGGATTCCAGCGGTGCTACCAACAATTTTAATACTTACATATATATTTACCTCAACATTGGTAAGTCCATTCTACTTACGTTCTTTTTTAATATCTTATACTTATGTATAATACATTTTTAGGGTCTACTCACGATTCCATTTGTGATGAACGCAGAGATTTTTCCACAAAAATATCGCGGTTTTTGTACGGGAATTACGATAGCCGCCACCTATTCAATTTGCTTTGTTTGCGTTAAACTCTATCCGACGATGATTACAGCATGGGGCAGCTCAAATGTTTGTCTATTTTATGGTACCTGTTCATTGATTAGCATTTTCTATGTAATATTTATTGTACCAGAAACAAAAGGCAAAACATTGGCCGAAATTGAAAATATGTTCAAATCCCACTATGCTGGCAACATTCAAAAAGTCGGATCATTGGCTTAGAGTGAATGCAAAAACAATTTTGAAATAAGAAATTTCAATTGAAATGCACAAACCAAAACTAATTTGAGACAAAAAAAAAATAAGAATATTTATGGCCAACTTAGGAAAAAAAAACATAGAATTAAATAAAACGGTTCATTATTGTGTATGTTTGATTGAGTGAGAGCACGTTGTAGTACTTAACGTCCTGAAATACAAACCGAACAGTAGAAATGATAGCATGCACACAGTGTTCTATGCGTTAATCGAAATTGATTGAATACGATCTCATCATTTGACACACCGATCATTTTAGATTTGATGTGTGGTATAATTTAAATTCAATCAGACGCAAAAAACAAACCAAATGGACCGGATAGGATGTGGAATTGAAAAGTGTAGGATATCAGGAAAACGGGAAACATATAGAATATAGAAAAAACGGATTCCAATTTCGTTTATTGCCGTGTGCATTCAAACATCTTTCGGCATTAGTGTTACATTTTTGAAGGGCAACAAATTTTATTCAGTTTTTTTGTAAATTTGTCGTATGTTGTGTCACTGTGATAGATTCGAGATCAACCATATTTTTTTTTTTTTGAATTCACATTCAAACGATCACATTTTTTCCCAATCAAAATCAATAACACTTGACGAAAAACTAAAGAAGTATGTCGATTTTTATGAAATATATGTTTTTAAATCTCAAAATAATCAATAAAAAAATATTTCTAAATGTCACTAAGTTTGCGTGTAATTTCTTATTTTTATTTTTCATTTTACAGTAGTACAATGGCACTTCTCGCTGATAACGGTAATTTCTTAGAAAATTCTTCAAATCAATAATCATGCTTCGTGCGTAAAGTTTATCCAAGTCAAAAACCCAAATTGAAACGTTTGCCCACCAAATCACATCCAACGATTTCACTTTTCGAATAGTTCAAGCTTCAAGTTGCCCCTAGCTCAGAAAGCATTATATAGATGGAGCCACAAATGTATAAGCGATCACAACGAAAAAGCGATAAAGTTCAAACGTTTTGTTGCCGGACTTTAAACAAAAAGGTGAATGTTGACATAAACGTATGTCGTTGATACACGGTTGCAAACTGTCAATGTCACATTTACGTCAAAACAATGTTCGAAAATATTTCATATCGACCGCATTTGTACACAGTAAACGTGTTTCAAAGAAGAGAATAAATAATCGGCAAATTTTCTTTAATCAAAAAACATAATAGGTTTCAGTAAGAAAGTTCGTTAACTTAAAAGAAAAATAAAACAAACAACGACAACTAGAGTGTTTCTGTTGGTATTGAATGCGCTTGAGCAACAATACAACTTTCTCCATCGTTTATGTCATAGCCATCGTGTTGCGGTGTGTGTGCATGTGTATATTTGCGATACTGAATTATATGGAAAATGTGCCAGAAGCGCCGACACATGCTCAGAATCAAGAACAATACACAACATAGCACAGAAGTGAATAAAACAAAAACACAGTGAAACAGTTTTCGTTGTCTTCTTCTTCCATTTATTGTGTGTGCATGTCCAAATTGGCGAATCGAATTTTCTCTGGCGTATTGTGCACGAGTGAAAAATAAACCGACAAACAAAAACAGAATCAAATGTGCGTTTAGCGAAGGAGGTTCATTTCATTTGCCCGTAGTGCTGTTCCTGTTACTGCTACTTCTTTTCACATATACACATACTCCTCGAGACACAATACATTCTCTTTGGTTTTTTTTAAGATTTTTATTGTTTGAATTTTGTGTCCCCGATTCATATGTAATACGACTTACTTACTTTACGTTTTATATTCGCGTGTGTCTTTTGTCACCGCTTGGCAAAGATTTTGAGCTCATCACATACACTCTGACAACCATCATTCGAAAAATCATCGTAGTGGCGGTAGATGGTTCAACAGCCCCCGCGCTCGCGCGTCAAAACAAACCATCAATGAAAACAATCAACATCTATATATAAACATCAATCGACAACGGCAACAATTTCCATTCACAAATTCAACACTCGTTCGGCAATCAACTTTGTCCGAATACAAATTACAAAGACACTTTTCACAACTGGTTTCAAATTCGATAAAAACTTGGACACACCAACTGAAGTTGGAAATGTAGAGCAGAAAGTTAGTGATTCTTAGAAGAAAAAAATATTTTTTTTTAAATATCTAATAAACGAACAAAAAAGTGAGTGTTGTGCAAAAGCTCTTTGACACAAATTATGCCCAAAAAGGCGGTGGAATTGATATTGTGATTAAGTCAATAAATAAACAAAGTCATTAAACGAAGTCACGAACTTAAAACAAAACCAATAAATTACTAGCAGAAATACAAAAAAAAACTTTCGGCACCACATTAATTATTTAAAATTTAAAATTAAAAAAAATCGAGTTCTTCAACAAATTAGTCACACATCGATGGTAAATTTATGTGAACAATAGAATCAATAAATAAAATGATTTAAATAATATTTGCAAATGAAAGTGATATAGATACGTAAAACATATCGGTTTTAATCGAAAAAAATCGGCATTTTCCGAATTGAATATCATAGATTTCGGGAACACCTTCCCAAAAGCATACAGAAAGCGGAAAAACCATTTGCGGCAATTTAATTGAATTTCGAATTGATAATTTTCATATTAATTTTGTGCTGAATTGTGATTTTCTTCATAGTATTCGGTGTATTGGCAGCTGTGACACCGATTTTGTTTGTGTGTAAATGTTTTTTGGCTGTGTGCCGAAATAATTGAGAGAAATACACACAACAAGATAGAGAGACACTGACTTTTTCCTCGTTTTCATCATCTTCATTGTGTTCAGTGTGTGATATTTCGGGTGTCTGGCAGTGCGCGCTTTGACTCTCTCTCTCTTTTACTCGGTTTCTATTTACATTGTGCAATATGCACACTGCAGTGAACGCGGCTGTTGTGCATATTTTTGTTCCCATTCGGTTCCTGTGTTGCATCGCATGAATAGTATGCGTACGCACGTGTAAAAAGCTTTTGATGCGATAGTTTGTGTTGTGTAGTTTTGTTTTTCTAGTCGTTCAGAGTCGTCACCGTTGTTACTGTTGTTGTTTGTCGGTTTATTCATCGAACATTAGTTTTGTGGATCGATTAGACAGACGGTGTATGAAGAGATGCTTGAAAATTGGTGATGCATTTTTGGTCACCACAATACACCAAATGAATTAAAGTAAACAAAAAGAGACAACATTTTGGGGAGCGTAAAAATCAATCGAATTTTCAAGGAAATCGCGACAGGCACAACAGTAAATAATAGTAAACCAAATTTTCACCGATTACACCCACGCGTAAAATTTCAACACAGAAATTTCAATTGAATTAAGCGAATTTCGATGAATAATTGCATTTGAACGAACACGAGCAGAGAAAAACGATCAAAACCGAACAACAACAGAATATTTTTGGTGCGCATTACATCTTTGCAGTAATACGATTCCAATAACAGCAACACACCGAAAGCAACCGACAACAATAGTTTTTGGACGAAAATATATAGACACAGTTCGTGAACTCGAAAACGGAAACTTTTTTAATATAGATGCATGTGCACACAGACACAAACATTGTAATGAACACCTTTCTAATGAACATAAAAAATAAATAAATTAATTATATAGATAGTTGTCACAATAACCACATAATCATCGTTTATTATAGAAAAAGTTTTGAGACACAAAAAAAACGAGAATTGAACAATCAAAACAAACACATTTTCAAAATCAATCAAAAACGAATATACAAACTGGAAAAGGCAATTTAGACGAACAACAGCAAAATACAAAAAAAAAATTGTTAAAATGTCGAACGATGCTAATCTAATACTGTTTCCAAAAATTACGGAATGTAGCTATATCAGTTGCTATTGGTAAGTAAACACGCAACAATATTACGCTTTTGTTTTTCTTTCTTCTTTGTTTTTACATTTTGTTTTGTATGTGTTTCTCAGCGCCACTTTGAGAAATGAGACTCATGATGTTCGTGTCACGAACGGAATGCACACTTGATTGCATTTTTCATTTTGTAGCGATTGAATCAATTTCATAAAAATTCATACGGGAAATATATATGGGGTGAGAGGTGGGGCGGAATGGTGGGTTTGGTTTTGCTGTCGAATATAAATTGTTTGTATTTAACCAGGTATCCACTTAATTGAACAACAAAATCTGCACGCGCACACGCAACCCCAAATATATGCATATTCATGGGCACGTTTTTTTTATCGGTCTGAAACGCATTGTTCTTGTATTTTAATTAATGCTCATTTTATTTAAAACATATTTTGTGGCGCAATGATTGAAAATAAAAAACAACAACAACCAAAAACAGCAACAGCATTTTGAGAAGCACCAAAGCGTGTTGACCTTTCCACTGAATGAAAAGAAAGAACCAAAGAGACACACGCGCGCAGTCATGATCTAGATATTATAAAAAATGCACAGAGGAAAACTGAATTCACTTCCGTTCTGAATTAAATTATTGCAACCTTTTTCGTATAGGATTTTTTTTTTTTCGAATAATCTTTGCAAAAATAGTAGGGTTCTTTTGGGTTTAAATGTGACATGCACAAAATTGGTAAGAAAGAGAGAATGTACGGTCTAAAAATAAATATTTAAATAGGCAGAGAAGTGAATAGAGAAAGAGATAGGATAAAAAGAGAAAAGAAGTGAAATGGAGAACTAAAAATGTGAAAAAATAGGAAAAAGCCATTTCATCCACTTTTAATAATAATAATAATATCCAGTTGTTAAACATATAACTATTAACAGTAAAATGGGTATATTGAAGCGTGCAACATTTTGCATTTCGTGACAATCGAAACCTAATTTTTGTTTCTCGTTGTGTCTTTCGAATCCATTATAAAATGCGCTGGTTGTTTTTTATTGCGACCATGTCGCTCATCGTTGCGCTAAATCATACCAAATGGTTTTAAAAGCGATTTGCATCAAAAACATTTCAATCAAATGAAAACTGAAAACAGTGGTGAATTAAACTATGATAATAATGAGAGTATAAGTGTTTGTCCTAAATACCGCCATGTATAAAATTTTGATCGAATTTCGAGTCCCACAAATGGTCAATTTTTCTATAGCATTGAATTACACACAATACGTTTCGTATTAATCAAAACAACATTTGTAAACATTCAGTGGCAACAGCATACCGTACAAACACCACATTCCATCCATCTGTACTATGTTTTAACGAACGCTTAATCTTGAACGTAAATAATATCTCACTCATTTTGAAGGTTCTCTTTCTTCTATGCTTCTTATCCCTTCGGAAAATGGGTTGCGGTTTGGCTCTGTTTCAAATTCGATCAGATTTTATCATTGTTATATGGAAACATTTCAGTCATCGACCAAATAATAAATCATACAAAACGGATTATTATTTTAATTATTTCAATCGCAAACGCGCTACCGAAGCGAAATCGCAATTATGAAACATTTTGTCCGGTATAATGTTCGCCTCATAATCATTGCCATGCACAAGCCACACACTCCATTGTTTATCCATGGTAATTCGCGTGTCATGGGAAATCGAAGGGAATTAGATCGAAAAAGATGACAAAATAAGATAGTCACCATAAAAAAAATCGACATCGAGATTGACCATAAAGCAATTGATGTTTGTGTTCAAGACAAAAAAAATCAAACAGAAAACGCAAACAAAAACGATGCAAGAAAAAAGGCATTGAACGGAAAATGATTGGAATCGAAAAAACACCATAAGAGAAGAAATGTTAAGCGCATGCAACTGTTGTGTAAAAAAAAAATACGAAATGAAAAACAAAAATTATAGATGAATTCAATTCTGGTGGAAATTACCGACGAATTGAATGAAGAGCAACTTTTGATTGGTCAAGTGTATTGCGACCACTCGAAGTGACGATGATGACGATGGCACGAACAAGTGCCGAAGGAAACGACGGTACACACTAATTAATGAAGTGTTTTTCAATCCAAATGCAATATTTCCCATTACCCCCCTTCTCCCCCGCCCTCATTCATTCTTCGCTGGCCGAAATGCTTTTAAATGTAGCCACTTATCATGCTCTTAATGCGCTCGTACATTTTAATTGATTGATCACATTAGCAGTGTACTCTGAATGTTTTTATCAAATCGAAAAACATCGAATAGGAATGTCGAAAAAAGCAATACATTGACCATGTACATTGTACAATGGACGAAAACACACAATGATATTTTGGTTGTGCTTTTTTTCCACTGCCGTTAATATTAATGATTTATTATACACAGAACCCGTAGCATGAACAATCGTTTGGGTTTCAATGATGGATTTTGTAAATGTGGCGGTCTGACGGCACTGGCGTCCATCGAATCAAACGAAACTATTCGCTGTTTTATTACATTTTCATGTTTCGAGACGATGATGAAATAATGTGCGCGATCAAACTTCGTTTGATTTTTATTATTTCAATGTATAATAATAATGATGATGATGTATATTGTTGTGTATATTATCAACAATCGTAATTAATTTTACTCACGTTTCTTATATTTTTGCTAAATTGTATTGTTGGGGTTTTGCTAAGCGTACACTCATCGATGACGTTGAGTAAGTGAGAATTTAAGCAAGACTGAAAGAACGAATTTAACAAAAAGCTTCTATATGCCAAGAAGGAGAAGGAAATGAAGAAAACAGTGCACGAGGAGAGATGGAAAATATTCGAAAAACCGGAATTATGATGTTAATTGCTTTTTTCTAAATGGATAGTTTTTGCGATGTTTAAGAGAATTGAAATAGTCAAGTGCGTTTCAAATTTTATCGCTTTATTGATTGCACCGTTTTTCACACTACTCAACATGATTTCTTTGCTTCGTTTCCTTCTCTATACAATTCGTTTTTCTTCATTTCCCTGTCTCACCCCCTGTATAGTGTATACACCCATAAGAAAGGGTTTAAAGTGGCCATGTATGCTTCTCTTCGTGTCTTACCCTCCCTCTTTCTCTTTTCTACCGTTTCTCACTCTCCCTTCCTCTTTCCTCGTCTCAGTTTCTCTAGTTTTCCCGTTGCATTCAGTCGTCAGATCAATGTAAATTGATGAATTTACGGATTGGAATTGGAGGAAAATACCAAGCACACTATATGCTGATGCTAATTTTATTTTCTCAAGTTTATTTTGCAGGCATCAATCATGAAATGAAAAATCCTTAACATTACACAGCATCGTAATATTTTCAAGAGTTTGTCCAATCAACTTCGTTGTTCAGATAAAATGACAAATTGATTCATTTTCTTTTCTTTTTTGGGCAACACATTTTTTTTTATCATTCACCATACAGGGAGTTTCAAAACTTCTTCTTCTGCATTTTGATCTGATTTCTTTAAAAGATAGTGAATCATTTTAAAATATAAGAAAATTCTTATGTCACATTCAGACAATATATTTAGCTGCCGTCATCTGGATATTTCAGCTCATCTGGATATTTCAGCTCATCTGGATGCCGTCAGCAGATGATACAAAGTGAAAACAATAGAAGTGATTGTTATAGGTATATAAGCTTGTTATATACTGGTATTACTATAACAATCACTTCTATTGTTTTCACTACGCATCATCTGCTGACGGCATCCAGATGAGCTAAAATATCCAGATGACGGCAGCTAAATATATTGTCTGGTCACATTAAATTTGATGGATAATCGAATCTGAAAACCAACTTCAGAAGTTTTGGAATGAGTCAATTGTTGTAGACAGACCAAATAAAACCACAAAACCACCGATATTGGTTTGGTTGATTAGCATGTCTAAATATCGTTACTAAAGCGATTCGAAATCCATTAAATGATTTTGATCCGTCGATATGTCTATTCTTGAGATTACACATTGCTTTCACCACTGAAAATGAATACTTATGACAATAATATACATATATCTTTTTTGAAGTGTTGTTGTGGAGATCCTTGTTGCGGTTTCTCCGCACACAAATGGTATCATGTTATCACTGGTAACTTACCAGTTGAAGTCTATTGCAAATAATTGAACACTTATACAAATGATAGGAAAACTCTAACAATTAATGCCATTTTGGCCTTAATTAAAGCCAAAAATCAGCCTCTAATAAGTGTCAACTTATATTTACAATTAAATTGTTTCAAATTTTATTCGCAAAAAGTATCGCGTGCATACTTTTGAAACATGCTGTGTAAAATATGTTGTCCTTTTTTTATAGAAAGAAAATGAATGAAATTTTTGTTATTTACTTACATTATTCGAGTTGACTGATGGCTATTACCTTTTATTTTTATTCTTCTGACATTTTGCGAATACGGTTTGAGTTAGCACAGAAAATGCAATAATATTCGTAAAGATTTGAAGGTAAAATGAAAAGTGCTCAAATGAAATGCGTAACAAAATCATCCGCACGTCAGTTGAATATTACGTCAGTGTGTCATATGACAAATGTCTGCATTTAGTGGCATTTTCTTGGCCTGAATTCAGTTTTGAATGTGGTACAGCCACGAACGCGCCATTTCAGTGGCATAAATTAAATTTAAATACGAAAGAGAAAAAAAGCGTATATATGTTCTACGCATGAAATGCACACTCCTTACATATATGACATAATGCGTTCGGAGAGTGCTCTAATCATGGTCATTGTTTTTTTTGTCCTTTATTAACAGAGCGAGTGAATTCGATGTTTTCGCCATCAAATGACACCGTGATTCGCATAATTTTTCAGCAAAACACAAACTGAAACCTAATTATGTATTTATTGAGTGACTCAATTTGAGTCCGACAAGCAATTGACAGATGAATCAATCTTCGTGCTTTTTTGTTTGTTTCCGCCTGTGTCATCGTTATTCTGACAGTCCATTACCAAGCTTTGTTTTAGTTT